TAACCAGAAGGGGAATCAAAATGGGATCTTCTGTGACTCTGTGGTCCTCTAGAATTTCCTCCTGACTCAAGACCAGGACCCACCATCACGACACATGTTCAACACGACTCAGAGTAACAGTAAGGTGGGGGAACAAGCCCCACATGTCCAGGGCAGTACACACCCCTCCCACAGCAAGGTGTCCCAGCACCCAGGCACTGCTCTCTCCAGACCAAGGGAAAGGCATGGCTCAGCCTCGGTCCAAGAAATGAGTATCATTTAAATTCCAAAGGTGAAAACATATGAACAGTATTTTAATTATAATTTGCCTAAACTTTATTTCTTGCAGAGGATACGCAAAATCTTGAAAGAAAACTATTATGTTTGCATTTCTTGACTAAGTGACAGAATAAATAGCTTAGTGGCTTTTTCATATCTTTAAAACATGGCTAACACCTTAACAGGTATGTGTTTCTGTGTAATGAACTCACATGGTGCTTGCTGAAAGTGCAGGAGGGCCACAGGGATTCTGGAACATAATTGTCTCTTTGTTTCCTTGTAAGAAAGGTAGGTTTAAGTAGACATGAATGCCCGTGACAATAACTAAGATTCAGTAGTAAGCCCAAAATGAGATCACACTTGAACTTTCTAAAATAATGCAAACTTCACTTTCCCACGGGCCACACACACCATTCAAGGTGCAGCCACGTCCTGGGCAGGGATCAGGGAATGAGTGCATCAGCATAGAGTGCACACTGGGGACAGCACCACAGCATCTCTGACTCTGGCCTCATCCACACACTGTGCTATGCAGTTTATTCTCACAAAAATGTGTCCTGCTAGGGAAAGCCCACCTACTTCATAGACAAGTGGGCAGCAGACGCCGGCAGCCTGACGCCGGTGATGGTTCTCCTCACCACTGAAGCACACTGCCCTCCACGTCCAGCCACCCCTTTACTTATCCTGAACATATTTGAATTGAGCCTATTTAGAAAAATCATAAATGATTAAGTGGCTAAACAGCAGGAGAAAAATAATGAGAAGTTAGGTATCTTGCTTCCTTCCAAGGGAGGGAAACATAAAAACTGGTCAAGCAGCAGAAAGTTTGGCTTCCACGAGCGATTGGGCAGAGCCGAGCCTAAGAATTTATCTCGAAAAGTAGTGAGACATGAGACACTAACATGGGAGTGTCAGCCTGATGTCAGGAAACCTTCCAGACAGTGAACTGGACTGGACTGTAGCAGCACCTCAAGAGGCCCAAGCACATCCCTTTGTACGTATGTTTTAGAAGCTGGGAGACACCGAGAAAGGAGATAGATTCACTCAACTCCTGACGACTTTCCATCTATGCTGTCATAAAAGATATCACTGTAAGGACCTCAAAAGGGTACAAAAGAGTGGACTGTTAAAAGCATTTGTCAATATTTATCTTAACCCAACTAAGCAAGTGCTTGAGAGACAACCAGCAGTCATGAGAAAAGCGGACACCACCCTGGTCCTGTCCGTGGAAACAGATGGATCAGGCAGTCACCGTGAAGCGTCTTTGTGTAGCTGGTGCCTTGGCAAGGAAAAGTCACTCCCTAGAGAAGGGAAAGCCGCTGCCACCACCGCTGTGAGAGTGGCCACACACTGTGCACTGGACACTTCACATTCACCAACAAACTCATCCCATGCTGGCTGCTGTGCTGAGAACTCTTAACTATGCCACGGCAGCCACAAGAAAGCACAGATGCGGGTGCCACTAGGGAATTACAACAGTCCCCCAGTTGGCAATGGGAGAGCTGGGATTTGCACCTCGTTCGTCTGACTCTGAAATACATGCTTTTATCTGTGTAAGCTACAAAGATCTAAACTCCACCTGAGTACCTTGTATTTGCCAAAGTTTGTGCAATGTCCCTTGAAAAGGAAAGTCCCAAATTACGTTGCTAGTAATAGCTATGACAAACTAACGTCATGTGAACTAAAAATTAGCTTTGTTTCAGGACTTTATACAGTATATACATTTAACTTCCTTTCCTGTAGGTCACATACAAAATGAAAGTTGGATGCAACCTCTGGGCCAAGGACATCCCGGTGTTATTGGGGATACCTGCGGCAGGGCATGGTGAGCCGGGGGACAGCAGTGGCACTTTAGTTCCCCCACTCTGACCCAGTCCAGGAAGGAAATGGGCTGTAGCAATGGTGCAAGTCTGTTGATCTTGCTAAGTCATTGAGTATTTTGCTTTGTCTTGCCCAGAAAACTATGTTCATTGTCTTCAAAGAATTAAGCTGTGTTCTGGACATCTTTGTACATGTGCCTTAAAAGTACTGACAGCATTTTCATAAAATAAATATTACTTTTTTTCTTTGCCTATCAAATACAGTCTGGAGAGAACCACCTGAATCTATAGTGATTTGAAATGTAAATCTCAAACACATTAGTATTTTAAAATAAATGTGTCTATTTAGAGTCCTGTGAGTTACACACAGGCGTACAGGTAAGACTTTAGAAAGGAAAGTATCTTCACACTGAGAGGACAGAAGGAACAGCTGAGTCCCAATAAACACAGGACAGGAGGAGAGGAGGGAGTAACACACTCAGGGTGCTTCAGTCTTCCTTATAAAAAAAACTTGAGAGAATTTTTAATTTATGTATTTTTTAATCATTTGTTTGTTTCTTTATTTTGAGACAGAGTCTTACAATGTCACCTCGGTAGAGTGGCATGGAGTCACAGCTCACAGCAACCTCAAACTCTTAGGCTTAAGTGATTCTCTTGCCTCAGCCTCCTGCGTAGCTGGGACTACAGGTGCCCACTACAATGCCCAGCTATGTTGCAGTTGTCATTGTTGTTTAGCAGGCCCAGGCCGGGCTCAAACCCACCAGTGTCAGTGTATGTGGCTGGTGCCATAACCACTGTGCTATCAGCACTGAGCTTTAATTTATTTATTTTAAAGTTCTTAGTAATAAAAAAGAATAGGTAAACACAATTATAAATGACAGAAGGCTAACTGAAACATAACTCAAGATGACTGAGTCAATTTTGGAAATGGGCACATGTCTTTATATTGTTTATGCGCCTTCCCTGCAGAACATCCCAGACAGAGGAGGGAGGAGGGCTCATCCCAGCACAGAGGTTCCTCCTGCCCTTGAATGGTGACACTAATCCTCAAAATTCCTTTCTATCTCTTCGAGCCTCATTGGACCCTGCCTAAGGCAGTATTTGCTCAGTGTTAGGGGGCAGTTTTAGGGACATCCCAAGACACTGAGGAACCAGCACTCCGGGCTCATCTGCATCCACCTGCTAGAAGCACCTGGCACAGGCTTCACCTGCTTTAAGCTGCTGAAGCATCTGGGCATGCGATAAAGCAAAACTTGACGAAGCTAGGGTGAAATCAGATTCTCCAGGGCCCCTCAGCTTTGTTGCCCTGTTCACTTCATTTTCTTTTCCTCACCTCGTTTATAGAAAGACTGGCATGGGGGAAGGAGACAGGTGAAACAGCTCCTCAATGCTTCTGCCTATGGCTGGGAATACCAAGAGAGGAGGACACTCCGCTCCAGCACATGTGCTTGCTTCTTGCACAGGTTTCCATTCTTGTTTCTGAAGTCAGCACTAGATGTGAATTACAACATAAGCTGGAGGATGGAGCTGTGCTTGCAAACAGCTGTCTGCATATGCCCTGGCTGTGCCACCTGTGAAAGGAGACCCCAAACTGGAAACGGCAGGGTTCCTCCTAATTGAGCATCTTGTTGGCTTTGTAAAGGCTGCTGCTGCTCTTGCGAGCATGTGTGAGTGTGTGTGTGTGTGTGTGTGTGTGTGTGTTCGTTCCTTCACATCCCAGAGCTCTACACAGAAGGGGTATAAATAGTTCAATGCTCTTGTCCTTTTTCCACTCCAGTCAGAGTAATTCCCCTGAAAACAAAGACCCCAGACTATTCCAGGCTCCAGAGGCTTTGCCCAGGCAAGAAGTTAGTGATTTTTATGAACATCTAAAAGAGAGAAAGAATGCAGATGAGACCGGGGCAGGAAGTGCACCTGAACCAGTGAGGAAGACCCAGCCCCCACTGCTCCCAAAAGTTAGCACGTTCCCTTCGTGTTCTCAGGTGCAGCTTGGAAGAGGGGAGAAATGTAACAATACAGGAGAGCTGGGAATATAGCACTTTATCCTCTTTAAATAAGTCAAAACTTCTTTTTCTAAGCATGTGTGTTCATGTGATTTTCAAGTGTGATGTTTGAAACATCACAACTGGCATTGCTGTCTATTAAATCTAAAGAAACTTCAGGTAACATCTCAGTTTGGTACATGCTGTCTGTATTCCTGAAAATTTTTCTGAAAGTACACTACTCTGAAAATTTAAGCAACAAGATTGTGTGGGGGGTGGGGAAAGACAGAGTGAGAGATCAGTGGGTTATCAAGGTTTGGTGACTGGTAGAGACAGCAGGCAGGCAACTTTGGGGGTGCCCCATAAGGATTTTGTATTCAACAGCCAGGGAAGACCATTCAGGCACCTTCCTGGGTTTAATGCACCTGCCCAGCCCTGCTGCAGGCAGTTTGAGGCTGGCATTCCTGGGGACAGTGGCAAGGAGAAAGGGAAGGAGTATGTCTGCATCACAGCACCATGACCCAGGAGGTCACCAGTCCTTGGAAGGAAGACAAAGTTAAGTTGGGAGTCTGTTCTGAGGGGTAAAAGCACCTTTTGGGTTCTTCAGCTCCCAAGACTGAGCAAGAACCAAGGCTGATGCACATGAGGCCATGGTAGGCTATCAGGATTGGGTAGAACCAGGAGTGTTTTTAGATGCAGTCTATGCCAGATACCTCTACGAACTATGGCAGACACCTATTGCCTGTGTCCTCAGGGCCATTATTCATGGGACAGTGACTTGTCGGACATACACTGTGAGCAGCGGAGACACTACAAGCTGCAGGGGGTCGAAGTCGACTTCCCTCTGGAGCCAAGCACAGGATGTTAGCACTCAAGGGCCTCTTGGATAAAATTTGTCTCTTTATATGCACGGCAGTTTTGAGAGTATGAATTGTCTTACCTGAATTTTAGTAGAAGACTGGATCCTTCACTAGGTTTATTTGCATTTCCTGAAATATGAATTTCACCTAAAAAAAATATAATAAACACAAAGCTTCAAACCCATCCCTGTAGTCGATCTAGTCCTCAAAGGCTCAAAGTTTGTTACAAGGAGGCTAGAATCTCAGGACTTTTTTTGGAAGAAATGGCTGCAGAAAGAAGTGAATGCTGTCCCCAAAGGGCCCAGCAGCTGGACAGTAAGCAAGGCCCCTCTACTCCAAATATGCAACCAGATGCTTTGTTCTTTGTCTCCCAGGGGCTCTGTCTAACCCAGGCCATCCCAAGCCCCCATCCCTCTCCCTACACATTTCTGGTGTATGTGTAGATGGGGCCTTCTCCTATGACCCTTGCTCCATGCTAAGCTGTATCCAAATTTGTCCTTACATGCTGACGTCACCTCCTGGCCATCTGTGCAGGATAGGGACAGGGTGACTCTCACTGTGCTAGCTGGGGATGGCTTCAGTAAGGGTTGGAGGGAACGCAGAACAGCAGCCATCAAGAGTGAGCCGCAGGGAGTGTCTCTTCTTGTCCCTGGATGCTGACACGCACAGGGCCCATCCTGAGGCCCACTCTAAGCTGAGCTGGAGAAGCCACTACCTGCGGCTGCCACCGCCAGAAATAGCCAGAGCCGAGGAACATTCCCCCAAGTCAAGTGGGGGTCAGTGACGAGATAGAAACAGAGAACGGGGCTGCTGCCAGCATTTCTGGCTCTCATCTTTGTATTGCCGAAAAAGAACTTCAGTATCAAATATAAAGTCTGTGGTGACATAGAACATATGAAACATAATGTTGGTGTTTACCAAGGACTTTTGTTATGGGAAATTATTATTTTTTTGACATTTCAAAACAGAAAAGCCAAAACCAAAACAACTGTTCTTTTGACCACACATGATAAAAGCAGAATTTACTCTCTCCACACACTGGCAGCTAGAGGGGGCATGCACATGTTAATTAATTTGCTGTGGCAGTTAGTACACAATCTCTATGCATACCAAACCAGCATGCTGTACATCTGGCATACATATTTTTTTATTTGTCAATTAAATATTTTATAAACAAAAAGTTTTCCTTCGGGAATAAATTCAAGAAACAGAAGTAGCAAATTGTTTGCACACACGTGGATACACTTAGCAATAGTAAACTGTATACTTACAAATGGTTATGACAATAAATCTTACATGCACTTTACCACAATTCAAAGTTAAAATTTTAAGTTAGGAAAGGGAGTTTTCACTTTAGTTTTTAACACGATGCAGCAGTACATGACCTGTTGGGGACTTTCACAGTCATTCTCCTCAGCATTGAGGCCTCTATTTACTTGAGTGTACATTTTCCAAATTGACGATTTCCTCTAATGAATGGACATGCTCTAAAACGCTTCTCCCATGGCCTGTTCCTGTTGCACATTACGCCCCTGGTCAGCCACACGAGCACTGTAGGGCCCAACAGCGCTGGGTGTCTACAGCCCTCCCGGCACTCTGTAAGCACAGTGGCATCCTCGTCCTGGAGCAGCCTCTGGGTCAGGCCCACAGCACTCTCACGTCCCCCTACATCTGGGAGCAGTGTGAGGAAACCAAGGCCCAGGACCCTGTTGTCACCTGGTCAGCAGCAGAAGCTGTTGCTGAGGCATAGACACAAGTCCGCTGACTTCTAGGAAGTCTGCCTCACCAACCTGCCTCCTGGAAAGGCCAGCCTTAGTATCCATCTCAGGAATTTCATGTCTCAATGAACGTATTATTTATTTTCAAGTTTGCGGTGCTTATGTGAGTGTGAAATCATGGGTTCTTTTCCTGCTGTACCCTTTTCCAGGCTTAAGAACTACATGCACCATTAGCCTGCGTTTCAGTCTATCTTGCAGGACAGTCCTGAGGGGCGCTGGCCAAGGTCTTGCTATGCGGCCCAGGCTGGAGTGCAGTGGCTCCATCCGAGGGTCACACTCACTACAATCTCAAACTCACAGAGCAGCTAGGGCGGCAGCTATGCACCACCATGTTCAACTAATACCCTTTTTATTTTTTGTGACAACTGAGCCTCATTATGTTGCTCAGGCTGGTTTCAAACTCCCAGCCTCATGTGATCCTCCCAAAGTTCTCAGATTACTGGTGTAAGCCAGGGCTCAGGGCCTCACTTTCAAGTCCATAGAAGAGAATCAGTGTGAGCCCCACTCCCAATATAGTGGCAGGAAGACTTGAGGTGATTTTCCTAATATCAAGCTAAGAACCAAAGCTTCTCAACTGCCCCTTTTGTAACCAAGCAAGCCAAGCCTGCCAATGAAAAGAGATGCCTTGCTGCCTTACAAAAGGTAATTTGTTACAGTGAATTATAAACTGATTTTCCTGTAGAAATGTTTCAGATTTTACTTACTTGGAACCTGGACTTGTGTGGTGCAGGTGACAGCATTCTTGACCAGGAGAAATTCCATCCTGTCACCTAAGCACCCTCTGCATACACCAACTTGCCAGAGAACATTTCACACAAAATCCCTTTGTATTTATAAAAAGGACTGCAAAGTCCAGAAAAAACAGAAGGCATGGGAACGACTCGTTGCTGTCAAATGCCACATCAAATGTCACACTGTTAGGAGCATAAACTTACAGTCCTCAATTGTGTGATTTTTAAAACATGGGTTGTAATTTTCAGAAGTCAAACTAGATCTTGGTTACCTGAAAATGCCAGCTGACCAAGAGAACAACGCTGACAACACCTGAGGAAAGGTACGGCGCCTTTGCAAAGGGAAGAAGACAGGAACGAGAAAGGAGCAGCAGGACACTGGTGACACCACACACAGATGGCACTCCTGCACTGTGCTTTCCTCACAGAGTCACTGCTGGGGAAAATAAGTCAGAAACAGTGCACTGCTTTTGCGAAGAGTTTATCTTTTCCACAGAGTGTAACAGGCCCAGGCTTCAGGAAGCCTCTCCAGAGTTATGAGGTGGGCAGGATCTCATGCTCGAGAGGAATGTGGCAGCACAAATAGTTTAGGGATGACAGAGAATGTGTGACTCAGCTTCTCTCAGTAAAAAAAGTCACTTACTAGGGCCTGTGCCTTCAGCCCCACCATGCGTCTCAAAAGCAGGTTAGTGGAGGGAAAAACAGGAATGCAAAGTGCCCACTCCTCTGGGAAACATGGCCCTCTGTCCTTAACTTCACAGCACCTTCTGTTCTGCAAAACTCAACTCTGCGGCGCTCACAGCAGAGTGAAGACACTGACAGCCAGGCTGCGACACCATGCCTTTCCTCCTTCTTGTTCCTTCTATAACTACTACTTTTTAATGAAGACTCTAAAAATGGGAAGCTGGCTGTCAGTTTTTAATGACTTTCCAGCCCTTGCTTTATACTTTCAATCTTAAAATATAACTGATCCTTTTAAGGACACAAATGTGTTAGTAGCCACCCAGATACTTTTGGTGAGTAAATTACTTTCTGGAATAACAGATTAGAGGCTTCTGAAAGCTCATTAACTCTTAAGACTCGCCCATCGGGACTCACTTCTGCCAGGAATTTCCACGTGGCCCTGAGTCACCACAGGGGTCACTCCTCCACCCTCCTCCTTACGGACTAATTTACTTAGGGCATCTAAGTGTTTATACATTAAAAATCCAGAATGCAGCAAGAATCTCAGTAAGACTAAGAAATTCCAGAGTTACATTTCTGAGAAAGTATAGGGGAAACCTTCTGTCCCATTTATCAATGATCAAGCAATCATCCAAAAAATGACACCTTCCAGATTCAGGAAGCCTTGAGAATGCTTATAGAGATGTCTATAAATAAAAGCATTCTAACGTGGCTTCTGGTTTTATTATATGTGGTATGTGGCAATGCAGGACATGCCCCCTCTGGGGTGCTGAAAAGTGGGGATGAAACGCTATAATGTGAAGGACTGAACCTAGGAGCTGTGCGTCCACTTGCCTGTCCTTTGCCGTCTGGCCTTCCCTCTGAGACTGTGGTCTGAACGTCTCTAAGCTGCAGAAGCTCTCTTTCCTGGTTGCTCACAGCCTTTACCTTGCTGTGAGATTGCTCACTGCCTCTTGTTGCTGCTGTCATACTTTTTCAATCTCTTGTAAAAATACAAGAGATTCTGGTTGCTACTTAGGCTTAAATTGTGTCTAAATTAAGGGCAAATGGGCAGAGTGAGAGTGTGAAGGGCAACAAGAAAATAAGGTGCATAAATGTGAACAAAATCACTTTGCAATCTGTTTGGTTTGCACGGATGTGTGTTTATGTCTGTACTTCAAAAGTGGGAAATGGACTCCGAACAGCAGGGGCCCTTTCTGGATATCTGGTACTAACATATCCATCCTCCTTAACAAACCAACAAAAGCTGTTCTGTAAAAGACATCCAGTTGTAGTGTTGTGAAATTGCAATGAGTGCTCCATTAAATTATCTCCCTGTTGTGGATGGCACGGCTTTCATAACTGGCTTCCTAGTGGAAGAAGACGTGATGTGACCATGAAGAATTACAATTACATCCACTTGACAGTCAGACAAGACCTGCGGCTAATACATGCAACTGGGCATTACACATTTACCGTGCCTATAGATTTGCATATAAATCTGCAGGCATTTTTAAATTAAAATTCAAATATTGAGGTCACACATTTAAAGAAATATATTCTTGGGCAGCACCTGTGGGTCAGTGGGTAGGGCACTGGCCCCATATACCAAGGCCGGTGGGATTGAACCTGGCCCCGGCCAAACTGCAACAAAAAATAGCTGGGCATTATGGTGGGAGCCTGTAGTCCCAGCTACTCGGGAGGCTGAGGCAAGAGAATTGCTTAAGCCCAGGCTTTGGAAGTTGCTGTGAGCTGTGACACCACAGAACTCTACTGAGAGCGACAAAGTAAGACTCTGTCTCTAAAAAAGAAAAGAAAAGACAAAGAAATATATTATATTGTACATCAAAAATTGAGGTTCATAAGGGTTTGGAAGTTTTCTTTTAGTCTATGGAAGACTTGTTCCTTTAAAAAAAAAAAAGTCTTAGCATGTTTGGGCTGATACATTTCTAAGACTACATGCAACTTCTCCAACCTAATTTTTACTACCTGGGGGTTGCCTGTGGAGGTGAAAACCAGGATAAAGAGCAGAAAAAGGCAAACAATTCTAAGAACTACTGTGCTCATTTCACCTCAGAGTTCAGTTTAAGGAGACAGCAGCTGGAGCTGATGTACCCGCAGTCCTCCCACCTGAGCGTCTGGCTCCCAGTCTGTCTTCCTCTCTGTGAACAGCTCACCTTCGCACATCACAGCCCCTGCTCTGCCCCCTGGCCGCACAGATCTGCTGTGGAATCAGCTTTTCTGTCCACGTTCCCAATGTTGTCTTTGTGGGCCTGCCTGAGGCCGTGCGCAACCCCCTGGATTTCAAGACGGCCCCATCTCAGAAGCTGGAGATCAGCTTCTGTGTGTACTGATGGCAAAACACTTCACAAGGATCTCATGAGAAAAAAACTTTTTCTATAAGTGCAGGTTTAAAAGTGTTCATTTAAAAGAAATCTAAGATTTTGCCCATTATATTTCCTTCCCTACACCTGGTCTTTTAATCTTAAACACACTTGCCCTTCACAATTCTATCTCTGTCCAGAGAATTCCAGAGCATTTCAAACACAGCAGCACATGTGGTTTCATCTGAATTATGGATCAAAATGAAATAAAACCTAAATGACTTTACCAGGGAAAAAGATTCAAATGAGACCAGAGAGGAAATGTGGGAGAGAAGACTTGGCTAAAAGGCAAAAGATGGGAGTTGAGGGGGCGCCCGCAGCCAGCTCAGTGAAGTACATCATCCTTGCTTCCAGGTACATGTTTCTTAATTTCTCTTATTTTTCTAAACTTGACTTCCATCTGTTCTTTCCATGTGACCCTCCATGAAGAGCATGGAGATGCACTATGGTGGCATGGAGCAAACTGACTTTGGCGGCTGAGAGCCCTGGAGTTGTAGATCAGCCCCCACCCTGATCCTACAGCTTCCTCCCTGGTAAAGGAGATCAGCGTGCCTTTTTTACACACTGATTTTAAGCACTACAACAAAAAAATAGTGGGCTTACAACACAGCCTGGCATAAGACATGCGCCCCCAACATGGTAGGGTTCATCACACAGGCAGCAAGGGCTTCACCAACCTCGTATTAAAGCACATTTAAAGTTCAGAGCACAGCACTACATTTTAAGTAGCTCCACAGATGCACGAGTCAGAATTCCAAAAAATTCAGGAAGGAAAAAAGGCAACTAGGAATTCAGAGCCACCCTTACCACCTCCTTCAAGTGAAATAACAATGAGAGTGAGCATTAAGGCAGGCCTGCTGTCTGTCAAGTCTGCCCTGAACCGCCACACAGGACAGAGACCAGTGATACCCCAAAATTTGATTCTAAGACCCATGCACGCTTCTCCATGCAAATAAGCAGCAATGAAAGAAAAAACATATTCATGTAAGGTTTATAGGACGGTGTGGTGACTCACACCTGTAATTCCAGCACCCTGGGAGACCAAGGCAGGTAGATCCCTTGAGCTCAGGAATTAGAGAACAGTCTGAGCAAGAGTGAGACCCATCTCTACTAAAAATAGAAAAACTAGCCAGGTGTTGTGGTGGGCACCTGTAGTCCCAGCTATTCGGGAGGCTGAGACAGGAGGATCAATTGTTCCCAGGAGTTTGAGGTTGCTGTGAGCTAGGCTGATGCCATAGCACTCTAGCCTGGGCAACAGAGTGAGACCTTTGTCACCAAAAAAAAAATCAAAAGTTAATTTTAAGGCTATGGGTTTAATTAAAGGGTTACAAGAGGTGCACATGGGGATGTTCACTGCTCCAGATCACTGCTGTCCAACACTTTTGTGCTTTTCTATATCCATCTAAAGCCAAACTCCTGCCTCTGCCATAGCAGACTCCCATGTAAAAGACATTGTGTCCAATCTCCAGCCATGTCTTCAAAAGACTAATTTTAATTCAGAAGTGAATTTCTTGGCTCAGCACCTGTGGCTCAAGTGGCTAAGGCGCCAGCCA